TCAAACAATGTATTCTGAAACGGTCAAGCACAAGTCTGTGTACAGTCACTGAGGCAGCTTACCAATGATCAGTTGTTCAGTTCGCTGTTCGATCAATGCCAAAAAACAAGAGCAGATTTTTTTCAACCAGACTATGGTTAGTTTAAAGGAGATTTACAGTTTCACTGCCTGTTTATGTTGCCTGGTTATATTTGTCCTTCGTAGTTTTTTATATCCAGGTTCTGGCAACTTATGTGCTTTACAGCTCACTCAAATAAATTTAAGTGACTTAACAACTTTAACTATGCGAGCAGCAGGTCCGCCCAATATCTTATGCTCGTCGCTATGCCATGCACTGAGACACAGTCTATACGACAGCAATATAACTAGAAATAAAACAGTAATTTGGGAAGCTGATTGGCCACCTGAAACAAATGACTAGGATAGAAACCATATGCCTAAGGAAACTCGCTGGTCGTTTGGAAACAACGACCATTAAAAAACAAACCAAGAGAAAAGCGAGTGATAACCGTGAATTCTTTGTACTATAAACCATATTACTACGAAACAAAGTGTTATGGACTGACAGTTGAGTGCGCCACAATCAATCAAAATTTATTAGTTTATGCAAGGGTACCACCTATGAAGACGCTGATTTACCATAATCACTTCAAAACTAAATTATACCTCTAAAAAAGATGACATCTACAATGGTCTGACACGATTCAGATTCAGTAAACAGATTCGTATGATTTTTTGGCGCTTGTTTCTCAAACCATCACATTCACAACCTCACTGATTTGGGTACGACCGAAAAACCGGATGAGCTTGTCAAAGTTACACAGACAGCAATCACTCACGTTTGCGTTGTCGCGCTGACGACGGCATGAAGAACCACCACGTCGACAGCCAAATACAAAAACTTCGCTCGTTCAAAGCTTACAAGGGTAGAGTGCAAAGCAAAAGCCTAAAGACGTTCTGTTAAGCGTAACACAGCGAAAGCAAGTAACAAAGACGACACAAAAAGGGTTATGGGAAAAACAGCACATCAAAAACAAACATCATTCAACACGCAAACGCATGCTTAGTTCTGGTCTTTTAACTTAATTTACAGCATCTAATGGTCATTTTGCCCCGACCGTTCATGCATCTTTTGGTGATCTTATTTTTAAAAAATTTACTACATTTATTTTAACAAAACATGCAAGTAAAGAGTTCTGCTACTGAAGATTGGTTTTACCCTTAGGCAAAAGTATGCATGTATGCATTTTTATTGCTGATGTGGATTGCAACATCACGAAATGTAAAAAATTCAGCAAATTTCAAAAATAATTACATAATTTAAACGAAAGCAAATTGAAAACGCAGGAACAAATGTCAAAATGCATTGGATCATTCACCGTACTTACACATGATAATTACCAAGCCATAAAGAGGATCTTGAAGAGGAAAGTGTTCCTTGGAAAAACCTTGTCCTATAAGCATTTATAGCTTCGTCTACAGTCACAGTTTATTGTTAGATAGGTAAAAAATGATTACATGAACTGAAGGATTCAAGACATCGATTTCTAGCATGCCACGTGACTGTCGTTCGAACTACAGGCATGGGCAGCTTTGATCAACCTAACTTCGTCTGATTGCAATAGGATTACTGTTATTTCTTGTCGAATCCAACTTACGTTTATTCATTTACACAGGATCCAAGACTCTGTAATGATCCTGACAGCACAGCTTTCAAATTTCGGCATTTCGAGATAAACCAGTAGAAATGCAGGAGAATAATAAGTGAAGAGGAAAGATAATAAAGACAATAATTTTCATACTGGTACGAAGCAAAAAATACCTTAAAGACCGAAATAACTAAGAAAGTACGCGAGAAATTAACGATGGCGTGCAAACATCAAAATCTCTTATCAGGAACAAGAAAACATTTTGTAATGACAAAATCAAATTGTGTGGGGAAAAATTTCTCATGTTCGAAGCACTATACAAATAATATAGCTAAATAATAACACAGCAGATCAAAAATGGCATAATACATACAAAAAATTATAAACTATTACCAGTAAAACTGCTGAACCGTGCGACAACAAAAAAATATGTACTTACCAAAGGATAATAATCAGCAGGGTACATCCTACTGGCATTGATCGTAAACACCGTAAATTTTTAGGATACTGTACTATACACTAAACTTGTTAAAATTCGAAAACCATATTTGAGCTTATGCGCCTGAATGATATGAGAAAAGTGTATTTTTCAGAAGAGAAATAAAAGAATATTACAAAAAACTTATCGAGTCCGCTCATCTGCCAACAGCGTTTCAAAACATGAAGCCACCAGAAACAAGTATGTACATATCTATGCAAAACGAGCAGTTCTATTTTGTTCATTGCCCTCACATTATGCAACGTCGAAGAGCAGCGTGCACAACTTATAGAAGAAATTATTTGCCGAAAATTTTCTTTTTTCATTTTTTGTTATCATTTGCCAATTATATTTTAATTCATACTTATATTTGTTTATTCTGTGGAATGCGGTGGAACTAACTCTTCACATGTTACTAAACGTGAGTGATTGATTGATGTACGGATGCTCTATTTATGGACTTAAATAGAGTCCATGATACATATATGCAATCTATCCTTATGCCAACTGATATCTCTTAAGTTTTCCACCGCCTATATGGAGTCTGGAACGACATATAGTAGTTGAGATTTAAGCAATCATATTTCCAATAAGGTCATCAATTTCATGTAAGACCTTCACTTAGTAATTGCAATATGAGAACATGTTCTTTTTTCCTTCAGTAAAAGTTCTGCAATGCGATGTTATTTGAGACAGCTTCAAGAATACGTCTAGATGACCGTGGGCATAAACCTGAATCATTTTTCTGCCCTTATGGAACTACACTATTTAAAATCGATGTTAATTTTCGGGATTTTCGGTTCAAGAAAATCAGGTCGAAACGCTAACTCTCGTCTGGACAAATTCACAGCCAAGAGCAATTAACGAAAACAAAAAAATACTTAAAAAATATTGTTAAACATTGAACACGGTAAAAAATACCGTGGTTAGTACGGCGACTGGACTTTTCCGACCAATACCGAAGTTTCGGCCCGAGTCTAACGGGCCTTCTCCAAGGAAGGTCGGTGTGAATTTTCGAGAAAGTGGTTGGTCGTCCGCAGCTGTCGACAGTTTCAGAGCCCGAAGGTCTGGTAAAAGTTAATGGAACTCTCCTTGCTATTCGCTAATTAACAACATTAACTCCACAATGAACAATTAATTGATCTTTTGAAAGTGTTCACCGCACTTGTTAGAC